TCCGCCGACTCAATTAGCGCGTAAGCCGCGCGGAAGCTGCGCGGAGCTTAGGAGCTCCGCGTAAGCTGCTCGGACTGACGCCATCGACTGTGGAAGCAAACAGATCAATGGACAGCGATATGGCTGCTGACCGCGATCGGTGCGAGTCATTAGCCGAGTCCAGTCGCGCTCCACCACTGCGATGCTGCTGTCGCGCCTGTTTGTGCACGAGGGATCAAACGAGGATTTGCATATGCAATGTATTATGCCATGGGTCTGGCATTTAATCCACACAAGTTTCACTAGAGGAAGTAAAGTTGGAGCCAAATCGCTGCATATAGGCTTTATCGCAGCCCATTTCACTTCGATCCACTCTCTCATTTGTCCTAAAATTTCACATCTGATAAGTCATAACCAGATTAGTCCTGTCTTGTCTGACAGTCTTCGGACTTATCTGACAATATTTTACGCTAATGGATATAATGAAATAAAGGACCTATCCGTAGGAACAGATAAGTTTTAGATTCTCAGAAAGGTCTATAGGGCGGACTTATCAGGGTCAAAGAAGCGGACTTAGGTGTAAGATTTTTCAAGGTATCTTCTTTAGCAAAAAATGATGGGGTTGGATCATGTTTTAGTGGACGTAGCTGATCAGAATAGATCGAATGTATTTCTGCTTTCCTTTTTGCAAACATTTTTTACCTCCTTAGTGCTGCAGAATTGAACATAAAATTGAATAGATAAAGAAACGCCCCGGAAGCGCTTGCACCACGTTTAAAACACTCAAAAAACATTAAAATGTAATTATTCTTTTGACATTTGATCTTTCTATTCTCACTAACGATAGTATCTACAGTAATGCTAGTACAATGAAACGCTATATAAATCAGTGATATGCTAAAAATCCAAGGCTGCATTGAAACCACAAAACTTGTCAGAATTATCACACTACGAAGTTTTTGTCGCAATAATCACGTCGCGACGCATGACAAAACCTTCCCAAAATTTCAAGATATACTTTAGACTCTATTCAGCAATTAAATGACGAACAAGTTGCGAAGTTGGGCTGAAATGATTGTGAAATAATTAGCATGTTGAAAACCTTGAAATAAGTAGCGATAGTGAACGCAATTGAACGCTGTATGAAACTTGGGAATTCCATTTGAATAAATTAATGCGCGAATATCTAGAGCAGCTTGTTAATTTCATGTTTCTGAGAAAATGAGTTCTAGAACAGTATCGGAAAGATCTGCTATAAACCTTACACAAGTTTGTGGGAACGCCCAGATTATAACAGCGCTTATTTTGGGAAAAATTCATGAAGGAAAAGATAGTGAGGTTTGTTCAACTGTCCACTTATCGTCTTGGCAGCGGTGGAGGACAGATTGAGATAAAGTAGAAAAAGACAATAGACGAGTTTGTAAGAGAGAATTTTGGGCCAGATGTCCTCCCACTAGATCAGTACCCAGAAAACTTCTGAACTATTGCATCACCTTATTGTTAGTAAAGGATCGCTATAAGCAAAGGAGGGAACGTTTTCAAGCGAACTAGTAACTTCAGCAAGGGAGGTGCACTAGTCGTGAGAAGCTCGAAAGTTCCATTCTTTGCTGACGTCATAGAAGGATGCATTAGTAATGGAAGAGAAAATGCGAAAGCCATTGCAGCGAAAGGCTAAAGACAAAGCGAAGCAAAAGAGCGAAAAGAAGGGTTGCGCTAAATTAGCGCTGGAAAACAAAGTGCATAGAAGCTGCGAATTAGGAAATTGCAAAGCCGTCAGACGCAGCAAATGTGATGCAAAAATGTCTAAGACAATATCATTTGGTTGAATTGAAGATGTCTATTCAATACACTTTACTTTTCAAGAGTACAAACTTTTTCCCCTAAAATGATGTAACTTGCTCCGTCAATCCACTCTATTTCGGTCTTCAAAGGCTTCTCGGAATTATGAAACACAATGACTCAAGCATGAAGTAGTAAATTTGCATTTCCACACTACCACTTTATGAACAGGAATGAAAGGACAAAAAGGGATATTCACTTTATAGATTCAAGAAGAGCAAGAAACTAGGAGCGGAATTTTGCTGTCGAAATTGCAATGCAAGGATTTGATACCATAATTCTACATCCCGTTTCTGACGTATCATTTTTGCAAATTAAAAAGCCCATGCTTAGATATCTAGGGTGAAAAGATTAAATTTACTCATTTTTATTTATTCAATCTTTACCTCAAAGAGTGTCTGCCAAAAGCAAGTAAGCTGAACCTATACAGAAGTTCCAGAACAACTACCAGGTTAAATACATATAAATAGGGGAGAAACTACTAATACCAGGGGAGAGGAAGCACGAGCGTCCCAGAGTTCATGAAATTTATTTCGGTTCTGTGTCTAAGCGCAGAATGATGTAAGTTCTGATAGTTAATCTAGTTAGATCAGGAGATGAAGCTTGATGTGAGACTTTTGTGAGCAAGATGGAGATAGCACAATTTTCAACCAAATTTTTATGATGTGCCATTTTTGGCAAAAGCTAAGCATTTCTTGCGTAAGATGACATACTCCAGGATGGGATAATGGCCCAAAGAAATAATTGCACGATTAAGAATTCAATGTAGCCTTTGTCTGGAGGTTTTTTTTTTCTGAAAGGTAGACTACTTTCTTAGGTGGAAGCAAGGCAGCAAAGCTAGCATCGGACTGCCTGTTGCGCGAACTCCATCAACGGACAAAAAGTGGTCGAGTTCTACAAATGAGACCCGAGAAAGGACAACAAACTAACATCGGCGAGAGGATAACGAGGATCCGTAACGCGTTGACCGTCGTGATGCGATTGGCGCAAGGTCGTCGCCAAAAACTCGCAGATAAGCCGATATCGCGGCTCTCGACATGGCCTCCGCCGAGAAAGGAAGTTGTTAGTCGGTGATGACTGCATTTCTGCTCGTTTGAGGGGGAAAGTAGGGTAATGGAATGACAATCAATCACTTAGAAACAGTTTTTCCACTTGAATGCTTCATGTGTAGGGCTCAATGCAGCCGTACATGTTTGCTTTTGCAGCTCCGTCGGCTGCACCCAAAGAAACAAACAGCTAGCGACAGTGATGCCATGTTGGGCTTTCGAATGGTCGCCGCCATCTACAGCTATTCTTTCACGATCTGTCACACTAGGATACCGAGAAGGTTCTTTAACAAAAAGTTTCCCTTTTTGGCGAATCTACGACTCACCGGTGGGTCGTACAAGTTCTGAGTTTAGCTGCATAGTATAAAGCTTCACTAGATTCTATCAGTTGTGTGGAGACACATGCGGAGCTCCAGCCAGCCTAGTCTGAGTTTTATAGAGTAATGTTATGGTAGGTATATCGTATACGAGGACCATTCTGCTGGCTTAAACGCACACCCAGACAAAAAAGTACTGGGCGGGTAAGGAACTCATTCAATCAAATATTATATAATATTTATCGTTCTGTTTCACAATTAATTCTTGCGTTTTTGATCCCAAGCTTTGTGTTTTCTACAAAGGGAATTATCGAGTAGGCTGACATCACGGACTCCTTACATCAACGCTTGAAATTTGCGCCCGAATCTTATCGTACTGCTAGTAGTCCTACTGTGCATAACGAACAACTTGATGTTGTATTCGCGATCAGCACGTAAAAGAGGTAACAGTATAGTCTTCAAGAAAACCCATGAGTTTGTATTAAGAAGTTGCCGCAATCCTACCGTATGGTCCCAAGAAAAGAAATGCAGAATGCTGTTTTCAAAATCATACCAAACAACCGAGCAAACCTCAGGATACATGTTTGAAGATTTTTTCACAATTATTCCGGATCATACGATCCACCGTTGGGTCGGCATGACAAAATACGCACTGGCTCAAAATGGTAGAAGTGGAAGAAGTGGCCTGGTGTGAATGTGTCAAGAAAGGTGAAGAATTACAATCACACATTATCTAAACAGCCAAACTCGCACTTGACAGTATTTCCTTTTATTGTTGAATCAAAGATCTTACAACGGTTTCTAGGAACATTTTAAGGGCTTCTTGACTAATTATGGTTATAGTTCATCCCGATCCAGTTTCAGTTTCAACTTTTCGGCTTTTGCTCACAAATCGATACAACTTTTAACACTTCAAGTCTTGCACCTAATGCTTATCTATGTCAGATTTATAACGACTGCCAAATCTTGTCTTACACTCTTGTATAAAAAAACAGGGAGTTTTTTTGTGAAAACCGAGCGATTGTTAAATGTGAAGTTTGCAGTGAATTATACCCTTCGATGGAACTCACATTGGCAAACATTAATCACTGTTTTTATTATTTCCTTTGAAATTAGAGTATATAATAGAATAAGTGCCATACCACTTGCTATTTCAACTTATTTGGTTTAGAGAAAAATCTACTAATTCACAAATATAAGCTTTCGAACGATAATTTATTTTCTTGAAATTGTTCGTTGAACTAAAGATCAACGCTATTCTATTTCACGATGTAGCCATTCTCGATGTGCTGGAAATTGCGCCTAAGTAGACCTTTTTTTTATTTAAAGATGGAACTCCCAATAACCGCACTTGCAGCAGTTAGCAGATGAAGTGCAAACTTCTTTAAATACTCGGTCCGAAAATCCTTATGTTCGAAAATTTTTGTGACGTAATCCATTCATGGAAGTATTTTGGAGCGGGAAGAACTACCACAAAACCTGTGAATTTCATTGCCTTTGAAGAAATGTTTATGTCTCTTCCTCAACTACTCCACATTTTCTGCATTCTAAAGGGAGGTACGAAATATGGTACTTGACAGAGAAAACTTTTAGTGCAGCTTTCTCTCAATACGGCGAGAAACCCCCATAATATCTTTCAGTCCCAAACCAATTTGGGCACGCGTATAAATTGCGAGTTACTATAAAGATTTATTGTTCAAAATTACAGCATGCAAATACTCCTGAGCAAAAGCACTCAGAATTTATTATATTGAAGTTAAAAAACTTCTCGTTCAAATGGTACATATCATGTTATAATTGCACTTCGAGTTCTCCATCATTATGTACAGAAATAATTTATCACAGCTGGAGCTTCTATGCCTTCGTTTGCGGACATGGATAGCATTGCTAAAAAATATAGGATGAATCGTATGATATCTGTAACGTTGCTAAAACCTACAGGTTTGTTGTCAGAATGTCGCTTCTTACGTTTCCGGCTGATATTTGACGTGCAAACATTGCAGTCTTCCTAGAATGAAGCTTTCAGTAGAAAATCATATTTTCCCATCGATGTGTCAGATTACTTCATAAGTCCCGTCCGTTTTGAATTTATACCGGAATGAGTCATGCAGTTCTCAAATCTGAATGGGATTTAAAGAGTACCATTTGATAGAACTGGATTCATCAGCTTTGATTCAGCTTGAATATGAAGCCAAAAACTAAATTAATCTAAGTGCCCGAAAAAATGAGAAAAAATCGTATCTCCGTGCAGTATAATCCTACAAAATTCCTGACTTGCTCACTTATAACTTTCCATATCGGATATTCATATACACCACTGGTGGATTTTTTCCTCACTTAGAGATCAAGAAAACGAAAAATTTCATACTTCTGCCAAAGTATGCTCAGCTGTTCTTGCACGAGTATTTGTATACTACAAACCTAGTAGAAGTACAAACATTAATTTGCAGCTTCCTACAGGCTCCAGTTCGAGACAAATATTGAAGTTAGCCTACCCTACTCTGGTGTCTCACACTGAAAGTCATATTTCTCGCGAACTAGAGCCTCTAGGAAGCTGAAAATTCAATGTTTGTACCCCTACAGGTTTTTATATACAGATACTTATGTGGGAACAGCTGAGAATCATTCAAAGCATAAAAAGTTTCGTTTTCTCGATCTCTAGTCGAGAAAAAAAAATCCATCAATGGTGTATATGGATGTCTGATATGGAAAGCTTATGAGTGAGCTGGTTGAAATTTTGTAGGAATATTTTGGAAGGAGTTACGATTTTTGTCTCGATTTTTTGGACGTATGGATCATTTTAAATAATTTTTGGTTTCAAATTCAAGGTGGATCAAAGATGTTGCAAAAGCAAGGACGCCATATTGCTATGGAATGATTCTTTGACTCCCATTCAGCTTCGAGAATTGCACGGCTTATCGTGGTTGATTCAGAACGGACGGAACTTATGGAACAACCTGATAATATTATAGACTACTAGCTGGCTTACCCGGCTCCGCCGTATGTTCCGAATAGAAGATTCCATTTCTTAACCGATCCGGACCAAACTTGACACACATACCCTTCGGGCCCCGGCGGGTGTCACAGTCCACTTTTCGTTATCGATCGATGTCGATTTTATCGATTTTCTGCAAAATTTGAGCTGCGGGGCTGGGAGTTGGCAGAGGGGTGTAATCGAGCATGCTGATCACCTCCACGGGGATGATCAGCATGCTCGATTACCCCCCTGTGCCAAATCCCAGCCCAGTAGCTTAAACTTTGCAAAAAAATCGATAAAATCGATAAAAGTAATGCACGATTTTAAAAACTAATATTGTATTCGGAATCCCCATGCTCACTTACCCCCCTGTGCCAACTCCCAGCCCCGTAGCTCAAATTTTGCAAAAAAATCGATAAAATCGATATCGATCGGTAGCCTATGACACCCGCCGGGGCCCGAAGTGTATGTGTGCCAAGTTTGGTCCGGATCGGTTCAGAAATGGAATTTTCTATTCGGAACATACGTACAGACAGACAGACAGACAGACAGACATACAGACAGACATACATATAAACAGACATTCAGCTTTATATATAAGATGTACTAACCCATAGATGGCGCTTTACTCGATGTCGACACTGTGGAAAAGCGAGACATGATTGCTGAAAGGATCATGCTACGATCTCATACTATAAAAGCAAGAAAAGTTAAATAAAAGCTTTACGCAATGAGTTATTTCCTTATAAAATTAGAACTCTGTTAGGTTGACTGCATTCTAGCTGTTATAGAAAAAATCTACAAATTATGGCAACACAAGCATCATCAATGTATTTTCTGAAAATTCTGGAGAAAATTCTAAAGCATAGGATTTTAAACTAACCTAGGTCTCCCACTTCTTTGAACATTATGAAACTTTCACATGCTCTAACTTATCGTATGCACTTACTTACACACTTACATGCACAGTTTTTATGGAATTTGGATTTGAATAACAAAAAAAACGAGCTAATTTAAAAGTGTCAAACTCAGACCCTACTGATCCTAGGCCCCTTTTGCTCAAATATCAGCTACAGGCGAAACAGAGCACAGAACTTTTCACAAATGTAACCTTTGATTCAACTGTGGCGGCTGGAAGGCAAAGCCTTGTGACCTAATCAAAATCGCTCGCGCCGGCTCGCGCCGCAACGCAGTCTGCGGCTCACTCTCGCGCGTGCTCTCTGATCATTCTCTAGTTTTAACTGGATTATGAAGCACCGCCTTCCAGCCGCCAATCCAGTTGAATCAAAGGCTACATGCACTGGATTTCGAGAAATAGTCTAAAAATGTCGGGGAACTTTCGATCCAGCCTAAAATATCTCACAGGTAATACATGGTAATGTTTGGATTGTTAATTTGAAAAGACTATGTTTTTTTTTCTGTATTCTTTCCAGGCATTCTCTCAAACTTTCTAAATAGTACATTAGAGTTCTTCTCTATAAACGCTTTCTAGCTCACCTCGGAAGCGTTGATTGTAGGCGAACCGTAGTTTCTCTTCACTCTCGGTGATCCAAAACTTCTTTTGACTCTCTCACCATTATAACCATTACCGCAATGTTCGCATTTTCTCTTTTTGAATGTCTGCAAATCATTTCATTATCATGGCATTGTATGTTATAACTTTGAACAAGGTACCTCTCTCTTAACTCGTGTGTTATGATAAACTTTTTTGAAGATCGCATACTCAACATCGTTCAAACAATCTTCAGTCTGATCGCATGAACCTTGCTTGCGACGAGGAGTCTCGTCATTGTCCTGAAATTTTGGATGTTCGAAATGGATATGTTACCACGAGCTGTATCAATAGTAGTTGGAGTTTTATGGAAGCACGAAAGCGGATGCATTCGTAGATAAAGTTGTAGTTAGAAAAAAATAAACTGAGGTTCCTTTTGTTTTTTTTTTTTGAGAATTTGTAATCTTCACATTCACAACAGATCCGATTTTGAGTCGGGCTGCAAAAAGTGCGAAAAAGGTCGTAGTAAATTCTATAAAATGAGTAACATAGGTTTAGACCTAGTCGTTGTGGTCGAAGAAACTTTGTGAATAGCGGTTTCGCATAAAGAATGTTAAAGATGTTTAGTTTGTTAAGTTGTTTGAAAATCTTAGCAAGCGCATTCATGCAAAAAACTTTTTCAATCAAGAAAAGTGCTCATGAAACGTATATTTGGGTCACTAGCATTTTTTGCATATTTTTTGCAACCCAACTCAAAAATTGCAAAACTTGATTGTTTTGATTTGAATGTTCAATATTACCAGCTGTCAACACGGCTGCTAACGCTAGGAATATATGTACCAAATCTACTCTCTCTAACAATATCTTCCCCCACAGAAAGTCATTTCAAAAATCACAGTACTTCATATTTCCTCAGCACTAGTTCACTTGCAAAAGCGCAAGCAAGATTCTTGAACAATTATTGATCAAGACTAAAAAACTTACTTCGAACCCTAGTCTGTATCCTCCTTTGCTTCGAATATCAGCTATTGCTTCAGAAAGAGTCATCCGAGGTTCGTCGTGCTCTTCCGTCTCGGACGAGTTGGTAGATCTTTTCTTTCTGCTGGCTAACGCAACGGTAACCCAAGCGGGGCACGGCATGCAATTCTAATTCATCATAAATTACCCTTTGGTAATGGTGACTTATAAACGTACTGAGTTGGCGTCAGGAGAGAAGAATTGCCGCTTTTGGCGAATATGCTGCTCCAGCTGTTCTTCGTGAGCCTGCTTTAGCGAAGCCACTTCCTAAATGTGCAAGTTCGATCCAAGAAAAAATCTGGAGTTATTCATACCTTATGGTACTGTTCCATGCGCTCGGCATGTCGTTTTCTTCTCCTAGCCTGTGCAAGTACACAGGCTGGGAATTTTAGGCAACCTCCGGGACCGGGTGCTGCAAATATTTTTGGTCATGAGAACATGAGAACAAAAAATACGAATTAGAAATTCTCTGACCTTCTCCTGCCATCGTTTTGCTAAGAACCTTAACGATGTCAAGAATGCCTTTAGGATTGTATGCCTGTCGCTTCATTCGAGTCACGAGGAACTCGTCCACTTCGCAGTCGGGACTTGTTGCTCGTTTGTCACGGCGTCGGTGGCATTTCTTGAGAATTGAAATTTGGACAATGAGAAATATTGGAAGTACCTTATCAACACGAGGTAATACTCGTAGGCACTGTTCAGTCGTAATATACATTTTTTTACATTGTGAAAACTTAAAGAGAATTATCTTTTCTGCCAAATTGATGGTACGTCAATAAAAATATTATGGAAGATTTTTCCTATAAAGATCTTCAAGATTGACAGCTCTATACAAGACTTTAGGGCTGAGTTTAGAGTTGCCGCGGTGCCAGATTCGTGCCACCCTTGTTCCAGCGCCGTTTCAGCGCCGTGCTTGCGCTACTGGAACTCACGTGGACGTGCTCATATTTGAACGTCGATGTTCCGGCACAACGCTAGCACTGTCATTGGTGCTAGAACGGTGCTGGCACGGCACGGCTTGATTTTTTTTTGAAGAGCGGTCAAGCTATTTTATGTCACATTGGTTCTAGCACAAGCATTGACTCCCACAGCGATAAAATGTACCTCTATTTCAGCTTCTCTTTTCTTTCTTCCATAATATCCTCCAGTGCAGGGTTCACAATATTGTGACTCCAAATTTCTTCTTATTCTTCGAGGAGCCAGTGTGCATTGCGGATGTGGTAAGCACTGAATGTAGGGGCTATGATCTCCCAAAGCAAATTTCGTAACTCGAAAGTACCCCGGCTCTTTTGACTCTTAGGTGGAACGGTAGAACCCCCACTGGCGATGTGGGAAGAGGTTGTGGTACGAACGGATTGACGACGCTTTCGGTAGGTTGGAGATATGTGCAACGGACACAGTCGAGCGAGCGCTTTGTTCTTTTGATTATTGGACGACCATTGATGCATATGGAACACTGTAGATAAAATGATTTGAAAACTAAAATTGGATCAATCGTCACCACCATTTTATAAAATTTCTGGTAAGATTCAAAAACAAACCCCTGAACGTTTGACGCGTCTAGCTCGATCTTGCTCATATAATCTTCCAGCACGAGGAGGTGCTTGTACCACATCCTAAAGAAATTCAGCGTTTTAATAATTTGTGACAGGATCAGGGGTACATTGAATCGCCGAAAGGGAGGTTCTCCGCGGACACTTGCAACAAACCGTGGGCCTCTACCTTTACTACCTGGTAGTTGTACGCATGGATGGAGCCTACTGGCGAATTAATGTCCTCTACCCAGCATTTGGATACCTCATACAGCTCTATCGACTTCATTGGCTTATAGGCGGTGACGGTCTTCTTCGTAGGAGCGGCAGCAGCTCGTGCGGATTTCGATTTTGTGACTTCTAAAACAGTGAATTTACTGAGTGCTTCTCAAAAAATGGATAGTTTACCTGGTTGACAGTGTAATCCATCATCACGCTTTGCGCGCTTACCCAACATTATTCTCTTTCTGCATGGACATGTGGGACAAGCTCTGAAATTTGGGCATAAACCCGTGGATAATTTCGCTACAAGCTCTTCAAGCATAACACTATTCTATACTCTTCCTAAACTCTAGCAAACTTTACAATACATATTAGGTTAATTCATTATTGATGCAAGTTTTTCACGGTTTTTTTCAGGCACAGGAGAAAGCAAGGCCAATTTTTTGCAAGCTTTCAATATCTACTGAGGAAGCGTTTCTTCTAGTTTCCTATATATGCCTTCGCTTTCATAGATCTTGATTATTGAAGTTCTTCCTTCAAAAATAAAAAACTACTTTCGCACTCTTTGCTTTGAATCGCGAAAAATAAAAGTGGATAAACCAAAGGGCGCATTAGAGCTTTGCGCTACAGAATGTTTTTTGAACAAAATTCTCGAAAAATCTTGAACCAAGAAATCCCATCACAAATTTGGGTTAGGGCTCTTCTTAACCTTTGAAAAATCTTGAGCAAAAAGTGGCTGAAAATCTTCCGCACTGTAAAGCGAAGGTAAGCCCAGTATTAGTGATGTGAGTACGGAAGGGTTCTTTCACTTCTCAGCGGAGAAAAATTGAACAATATCAAAAAGTGCGATATTTTGAATCTGCCAAAGTTCTCACTTTGACGAGCTATGATTTATTAAAACATCAACATTTTTTCAATGCGATAAAGAACTCCAGAGGTAGCAAACCTTCCGCAATACTGCGTACATCCAAATAAACTCATATCACAAACGGGCAGAAAAATATGAATTGTTTAACGAAAAAGTTATTTTCTAGAACTGCGAATATAGAAATTCAAAGTTTGTTGGTATAGATAATAAGTAGCCTATCTTGTACTGCAAGCCATTGGTACAAGAGATGATCAAAGTGCTTGTACAAAGAAGATTTGCCAGAAGAAAAAATAATAAATCAAAATTATCAGCTTTTTAAAACATTTTTTTCATGTGCCTCACAGCCCCAAGTTATGGAGTTTTTTGTTTTCTCGGTACTGAAAAGCTAAACGTTTTCGCAAAGACTACCAAGGAGGCCTAGCCTTACGCTTACAGAAACGAGCAAAGCCCTAGCGCTTCTTCGAAAGAAAATTTTGGGCCGCAGAATGACCGAAATGACCACCTTTGAAGGGCCGATATCTCAGTCTAGACGATTTCTAAGAAAATATATGCATAATGTAGACAATTTCTATTACGTACAGTAGCCGAATTTCCAAAACAATGCCACCATTCAAGCTTGAATTTCGGCTAAAAAAGTAAATGCAATGAATTTTTGAGTGCGCTTATTTGAAGCTCCGTTATTCTTAACAAATGAGGCTGGAAGTCTGTTTTGACCATCATTAGAGCATGAAAAAAGCTTTTTAACGTTTTGCTGACTCTTTTCCACAAGAGAAAGTTTAATGGGAAAAGTTGTCCTGAAACAAATCCTGAAAAAGCTCATTATTTTTGCACCAACCTAATACATTTGTTGACCTTTAGGCTAGATAATCGCTCTTGTAATGGTTACGTATATATAAATGCATAAGTGTTATAGGCAAAAATTTGCTTTTTTTAGCAATCTTTACTGCACTAACACAGACGTTTCGAAAAGGAGCCATATTGATAGAATAGTATAGAAAACATGCATTAATTATGAATCCACTTGACATTATATACAGTAACTGAAACGATAAAACAGTTTGAAGAATTCTTTTTTGGTTTATTCACATTGTATGTACATGAAGAGTACGTGCTTTGTAAGTGGTTAGAAGAAAACTGCAGACGATACGAGTTGGAAAGAAGTTCAGCGAGTTGGAAAGTTGGAAAGAAGTTCAGCTCTTTTGAGCTACATATTGAAAGAAATCAGAAAATTATTCGGTACTCATTGATCCGAATAAGAACTGGCTCACCTCAGACAGGGTGGCACCTGAGCGATACAGTTGGTCACAGGCAATGGAGGACAGCAGGGTAAAGGAGGGGGCTGAGGAGGGCAGCATGGCTTTCCTTGATTGCAGCAGGAAGGATTCTGATAATAACAACAAGGTCTTCTGCATCCACAATCTGAAAACAGTGAACAAATCTCTTAGGAAAGCGATTTATTAGACCTTACCTCCTCCAGGGCATCCTCGGTCACAAGGGCTTCTTGGCTGATTTGCACCAGCGCAGCATTGCACTGGCGGCTCTGGTGCTGGCGGTGGAGGAGGAGGTGGCGGTGGCGGCGGCGGTGGAACTGGTGGTGGACAACAAGTCTTAGATGGTGGGGGTGGTAACTAATTAAAAAAAACTATTTCTATTGAAACACAGTAAAATCAGACACAATCTTACTGGCTGAGCTCCGCCTCCGTGAGGTTCCTCCTCTTCATATTCTGGACGTTGCCCTCTGCAAGATGACTTGTTGAAGTAACACTTACAAAGCTCGTAAATATTTCCTAGCATACTGGGAAACTAAGCCTTTACCTGCAGCATGGCTTGGGACAGCAGTTGGGTACCGCAGGACAGCAAGGTCCGTAAGCAGGTTGACAGCAAGGTTTTGGTGGTGGAGGAGGGGGACAGCATGCTAGTGGTATTGGAGCACTACCGCAGCATTCTGCAAGTAAAAACAATTTGTCCGAAATTGGTTGAAACGATTCGAGACCTGCTGAATTTTACTTTGATGTCTTGAGCAGCCATATCATTCCCATACGCACACGAGGAATGAGAAATATGCGAGATCAACTCAAAAAGTCACTCTCAGAGATGCTGCAGTACCCGATATATGTTGGAAAATTTCAAGCTTATTGGTACAACTGAAGCGCAGGAATCAAGCGATGTTTAGTTTATCAAATGTACTCAATATCCTTGAATTTCTAAAGCGATCGCAAATTAGCACACTATGACTTGCAGGTTCATATCCGCAATTCGAGTGCGTGTTCGAAACAGTGGCGATCTAGAAATCTTTTGTCGGATGGCGCAGTGGAAAATGTTTAGATGGTTTGAAGGGGGCATACAGATTATTCGCAGGCTTCCAGTAAAAGTTTGAAAGGGAAGGGCATGACTATACCCATATTCCTTGAAATTTTCTACGAACTGATTTGGTGCAAAATTCTGTGAATCGTTCCGTATTTACAAATAAGAATGTCGATTGCATGTTTATGAAAATCTTATGAACGACCTTGAAAATATTTAGCAACCAATCTTAGAAGGGGAGGGGAAGAAGAGCGCATTTGTTTTCTGTTCTTTGTTCACAATACATAAAATTGTCGAGATTAGCATCGGCCTGAACTCATGCATAAACTTATCAATACCGTACGAGTTCTGCAAATTTCTCCTTGCCCATCAGACACAAAAATGTTTGAAAAAGTTTCAAATATTTTGTTGGATTTCTCAATGCAAAATTTTTTCTCCCAGCTTTTACACTTACCGCTACTGCAACAGGCTCGTCCAGGAAAAACGTCACATCCTGTACAGCCACAGGAACAGCGTTTTCGTCGAGTAGTTCTGGAACAAAAAGCAATTTGCCTTTAGCAGTACAATCCATCAAATTCGTCGTAAAGCAACGGCTTACCTTACGGTTAGAGGTACAATATTGGTTTCGTTTTCCGTGATGGCATGCAATGGACGATCATAAGATCGAAGACGTGATTCCCATTTCACTAAAACCAAACTTTTCGCTTTTCATTTTGATATTTAGCATAATGGCTCACCTTTGTTGACAAATATGATGTCTGTGTGATCTTCTGGGAATTCATCGACTGTCGAAAGTACCGCAACCGTGGAAAGGGTGAGCACAGCCCACCCAAGTAATTGTTGCATTACTGTAATACGATGCTATATCAGTCGTAACATAACATCCGTCACAGTGTACACAGATGGAGAGAATGAAGATTCAAATTTTGAAAAATGACTATTCATAGGAAGTTTCTCGAATAAAGCAGGAGAGGTCTGGGTACGTTCTCACAGATATTACTGACTCATAATTTGCTTAGCTTATAGTTATTACAATTATGAATCATAGTGTTCCTACATCTGAGTTTCAAGAGTACCAGTAGAGCACAACAAGCTCTACATGGCCTTCAAACATTTACACATACTAGACTGCCGAAATGTAGAAAATTCAACCGCGAAAAATTCGAAGAAAATATTTTCGTTCAAAAAAATCCCGAAAGTTAGCGGGTCGTTCACACTGTACATCAAGCATTGAAAAATGCACTTGTTGTAATTCAGTGAAGCTAGGACTCGAGATGCGCAATGGTAATAAAAAAATAATAACTTTTCAAATTGCATGCGGGTTTATGTTCCCTCACTTACAATACCACCCGTAATTTGTGAAAAAAAAATGGCGGCGGCACTTAACTTACGCGGCGCCGCCGAAGTTAGGTGACTTTTGCCGCGTCGCGCGACAAAAGTCGGCGGAAAAGCGGCAAAAGTCACCTAACTTTGTCGCGCAACGCCTAACTTTTTATAAAAAAAGACCTTATCTTGATTCAAAATTTATGAATTCTATATATAAGAGTACCATTCAACTCAGCTCGGCGAGGCGCATCTTCCAATATACGGATGTGCCTAGTTGTGGGATATAAGTTTCTTTCCTGGAATTTTAGTGTAAATGGACCATTCAGTGTGCTTATTCCAGAGGCTACGTACACATTCTATTGAGCACAGCAGAAATAGGGCAGGTATAGTTTAAGAGCTCATTCTGTATGGATATATGTGAAACTGGGCAGCTCATTCTGCATGGATATGTGTGAAAGTGGGCTTCTCTCGGCGAAGTATGACGGGTCCCAAAATGCAGGAAGAAAAAGGGAAATGGTTGGAAATCGCATGAGAAGCACATATCGCGGAATGCCGCGCGTGCTGTGCAATGTACAATACCACTCACAGAACGGGAATTGCGCGAAATTCCAGAAATTTCGCGATTCCGGATTATCGTAAATTATGCAGCGCCATAACTTCCTTCGGAATTAATATATTCTAAATTCGAAAGCAGCACTGTGTTCATCTCGTCAAGGCGAATCTTTCTACATACGTCATGTCATCTATATCTTGTTTTCAGTTTTCTCAAATTGTTCTGAGGAGGTCCCTTTGCAAGTATGTAACGCAGCGCCTATCCAATTTGAAAGCTTCCGGTATGCACCATTCGATAGTGCTCTTCTTGTGCATTATAGTGCGCTAGTAAGCTGCCGCAGGCTTCTTTTCAAAAGAGAAAAAAGCGTTGGTAAATTCTGGAAAAATCACTCGTTTCCAGATTCTACTCGCCGTAACTTTCTTTGGAGTGGATATTTTCTAAATCCGAAAAATGCATTGTGCTCAGCTCATCAAGGCAAATCTTTCGGTATGCGGAATGTCCTTGATATCTCGATTTCAGTATTCTCAAAACTTTCTGCGGACGTTTCTTCGCAAAGGTGTGAAGCAGCGCGTATTGCCCCCAGTACATTCAGAAAGAAATTTTCGATAGTACTTCTTTTGTAGATTATGGAGCGCTGGAAAGTAGCCGCGTACTCCTTTTCAAAGGAGTTAGAAGGGCTGGTGAATTCTGGAAAAATCATGTCCTTCTAAATTTTTCTCAACGTAACTCTAAAATATGAAGCTCTCTTGCTAAGCAGATGTGATTTTCGTAACCAGCAGGTCGGATAACCCTTATGAGCATGTTTTCCAAGATGTTCAAGTAATTTCATTTTTTCTCGTTTTACGCTCTGAAGCTGGCCGATGGATTTTGGTCAAAATGTTCATGCTCTTAAATTGTAAGGAAACTTCGCTTATAGAAGTTTTCGAACACGCTCTTTACGAAAATCGTGGTCCTTGAGGATTACAGGGTCTTTTTGGTGAGATACGGTGAGGTGACTGTAACTGCATCACGAAAGTGCGTAAATTGGCCCGCACTTCTCGCGTATCTGTCAGCAACCTTGCCTGCTTGCTTTTCTCAGTCAAAGTTACTAGGAACTGCGCTACCGAATGGTGCATGAATCAGGCTCCAGTCTGTAAAAATCACCGAGTTACGAGCCTATGAAAACACGTCCTCATGGATTTTGCCCAAAATCTAAAGATGCAAATCTCGTCGAAGTTCCACCGTGAGCGCTTGTACAACACGCTGATCAAAATCTTTCGCGTCCTTAATGGATCTTATTGTGTTAGATTAGTACTCTGCGTTGATACCACTGCTTATAGCTCTGATATTCAACTGAGTAGCTGAAGCATATGCAAGTACCATATTCAATACAGTGGGAGTTTTTGGGCGAAGCGAACACAATATCCGCAATGCGAGTGTCATACAAGCGCTCACGGAGGAATTTCGACGAGATATGCGATCTTTAGATTTTGGGCAAAATCCATGAGGACGTGTTTTCATAGGCTCGTAACTCGGTGATTTTTACAGACTGGAGCCTGATTCATGCACCATTCGGTAGCGCAGTTCCTAGTAACTTTGACTGAGAAAAGCAAGCAGGCAAGGTTGCTGACAGATACGCGAGAAGTGCGGGCCAATTTACGCACTTTCGTGATGCAGTTACAGTCACCTCACCGTATCTCACCAAAAAGACCCTGTAATCCTCAAGGACCACGGTTTTCGTAAAGAGCGTGTTCGAAAACCTCTATAAGCGAAGTTTCCTTAGTACTCTGCGTTGATACCACTGCTTCCAAAATCCATCGGCCAGCTTCAGAGCGTAAAACGAGAAAAAATGAAATTACTTGAACATCTTGGAAAACATGCTCATAAGGGTTATCCGACCTGCTGGTTACGAAAATCACATCTGCTTAGCAAGAGAGCTTCATATTTTAGAGTTACGTTGAGAAAAATTTAGAAGGACATGATTTTTCCAGAATTCACCAGCCCTTCTAACTCCTTTGAAAAGGAGTACGCGGCTACTTTCCAGCGCTCCATAATCTACAAAAGAAGTACTATCGAAAATTTCTTTCTGAATGTACTGGGGGCAATACGCGCTGCTTCACACCTTTGCGAAGAAACGTCCGCAGAAAGTTTTGAGAATACTGAAATCGAGATATCAAGGACATTCCGCATACCGAAAGATTTGCCTTGATGAGCTGAGCACAATGCATTTTTCGGATTTAGAAAATATCCACTCCAAAGAAAGTTACGGCGAGTAGAATCTGGAAACGAGTGATTTTTCCAGAATTTACCAACGCTTTTTTCTCTTTTGAAAAGAAGCCTGCGGCAGCTTACTAGCGCACTATAATGCACAAGAAGAGCACTATCGAATGGTGCATACTGGAAGCTTTCAAATTGGATAGGCGCTGCGTTACATACTTGCAAAGGGACCTCCTCAGAACAATTTGAGAAAACTGAAAACAAGATATAGATGACATGACGTATGTAGAAAGATTCGCCTTGACGAGATGAACACAGTGCTGCTTTCGAATTTAGAATATATTAATTCCGAAGGAAGTTATGGCGCTGCATAATTTACGATAATCCGGAATCGCGAAATTTCTGGAATTTCGCGCAATTCCCGTTCTGTGAGTGGTATTGTACATTGCACAGCACGCGCGGCATTCCGCGATATGTGCTTCTCATGCGATTTCCAACCATTTCCCTTTTTCTTCCTGCATTTTGGGACCCGTCATACTTCGCCGAGAGAAGCCCACTTTCACACATATCCATGCAGAATGAGCTGCCCAGTTTCACATATATCCATGCAGAATGAGCTCTTAAACTATACCTGCCCTATTTCTGCTGTGCTCAATGGAATGTGTACAGTCGAGTAGATTTAGCGGTAAATATAGTGTGCTTGCACAGAAGGTGAAATGCGGTAAAATTTGCACGTGAAGAAATAGCTTCGACTGTGAAGCCGGCCAATTGCGCGCGCAAGGTACCCGCAGTACTGGCGTGGCTACTTGTTCACGCGCAAATTTCACCGCATTCCACCTTCTGTGCAAGCACACTATATTTACCGCTAAATCTACTCGACTGTACGTAGCCTCTGGAATAAGCACACTGAATGGTCCATTTACACTAAAATTCCAGGAAAGAAACTTATATCCCACAACTAGGCACATCCGTATATTGGAAGATGCGCCTCGCCGAGCTGAGTTGAATGGTACTCTTATATATAGAATTCATAAATTTTGAATCAAGATAAGGTCTTTTTTTATAAAAAGTTAGGCGTTGCGCGACAAAGTTAGGTGACTTTTGCCGCTTTTCCGCCGACTTTTGTCGCGCGACGCGGCAAAAGTCACCTAACTTCGGCGGCGCCGCGTAAGTTAAGTGCCGCCGCCATTTTTTTTCGCAAATTACGGGTGGTATTGTATGTCGTTATTCAGCGTCATTTTGAAATTCAACCATAATTTTGCACCCTTGCAGGCGCTTTAGTTCCTGACAAAACTCTATTTCGAGATGCAAATATGTTGAAAAATTATGAAACAACTCGATATTTTAGCGATTTTTTGAAGGAGGATATAGCACTTCAACACTTGCACTCATGAATTCTAAGAGAACAAAAAACTTAGCAGACTATAAAGAGTCACTGATTCATGCAAGTGAGCTGAATTGTTAACAGAACATAAGCGAATGCCAGGTCGAATCGGACCCGGATCAAGACTAAGGGCGATAGCAGGGCGGGCGATTAGCAGCAGGTTGAAACAAAACGGGATATCAGCGAACGAGAGCGAGATTTGTGACCGCTAAGGTGAGCTGCTTTCTCTCGCAAGCGACCGCGCATGATATGATATTCTTAGAGTTAGGAACAATGACATACAGAAATCAATGGACGATGCAATGCTGAGATAGGTGTGCTGCTCATTATCCACATATAAGGCCTCAAATTTTCTTGAAATCTACAAAGCGTCAAGGAACTTGACAT